CTTCCTTTTTTTCCCCTGTTTTTATTTCCATCATGGTCTTCTCCCTACATTTGCCTTTCTCCTCTGGCTTTTAAATCTGGAAAATTGAACTTTTATTTCTCTTTGGTTAGTTGGATAAATTAACATACTTAATCACCTCTGTAGAGTTAGAATTAACTTAATTCAGTGAACTCTATTTCTTCCATATCTTAGAGTTGAATGAGACCACATCTTATTTGTGAATCTCCTCTAAAAAATAGTGATTTTTCTCATTTCTCCTGAAAATCTCTGTAAGAAGAGTAGAACTTGCTATCTGACGAGGTGGCCTATTCCAAATTTGTTTCATAAGTTTTCTCATACTGAGCAGAAATCTGCTTCTGCCCAAATTTAACTAGTCTTGTCTTCTGGAGCCATTCATGTCATATTCTTTCAGTTTTCATGACTGTTTCCAGTTATCATCAACACTGTTGCTTGCTTTCCTGGATACTCTCCAATTTGTCAAAGCCTGACTTGATACTTTTGGCGGGGGCTGGGAGGGTGGTGAGCCACGCAGCATGTGGGATCTTAGTTCCCTGGCCAAGGAATCGAACCCGTGCCCCCCCTGCAGTAGAAGCACGGAGTCTTAACCACTGGACTGCCAGGGAAGTCCCTGTTTTTAAAGGAACAATATACTCTAGGTTTGGTTTCCTCAGCACAGCGTAGAATTGAATCATCATCCTTCATTTTGATTTCTAATTAATATCTTAGAATCATATTCTCCTTCTTAGTAGGCATATCATCCTGTTGAGGCAGAGAAAATGTAGAATAATGTTGTAGAACAGGTCAGATTGCCTAGTTGGAGTTTTACCATCACAACTTAGCTGTGGTTTTTGAGCTTGGTGCCATTTGTTCTCTTCTATGAGATGGCGATAATTGTAGTTTGTACCTCATAGGTAAGGTTATGGAAGGATCAAATTAATCCATGTAAAGTGATTAAGTATCAAGAATGGCATGTTTATTATTGAAAATGATGTTTTTATTATTTTTCTCAGTTGTCTATTGCTGCATAACAAACAGATCAAAACTAAAACAGTGATTTATTCTGTTTTGTAACTCTGTGGCCTGTCTGGATTCTTTTGGACAGTTTTTCACATGGTGTTGGCTGTGGTCACTCATTGCTGTCTTCAGCTGGGGCTTAAATATCCAAATGGCTTCACTAAACATGTTTCATGACTGGGGCTGACTTGACCTTTCTCTCCAGCAAGATAGATTTTTTTTTTTTTTTTTTTTTTTTTTCCTTCCCTGGTGGCACAGTGGTTGAGAATCTGCCTGCTAACGCAGGGGACACGGGTTTGAGCCCTGATCTGGGAGGTTCCCACATGCCGCGGAGCAACTAGGCCCATGAGCCACAACTACTGAGCCTGCGCGTCTGGAGCCTGTGCTCCGCAACAGGAGAGGCTTGCGCACCGCGATGAAGAGTGGCCCCCACTTGCCACAACTAGAGAAAGCCCTCGCACAGAAACGAAGACCCAACACAGCAAAAATAAAATAAAATTAATTAATTTAAGAAAAAAAGAAAGAAAAAATAAAAACCTTAAAAAAATTTTTAAAAAGATAGTGTTGTTTTTGTTTGTTTGTTTTTGTTTTGTTTTTTTTTAATGCTGGCTTAGGGCTCCAAGAGGGCAAAAGGGGAAGTTGCTAGTCCTCTTAAGGGTTAGGCCTAGAACTGGAACAGGAGCCATTTTCACCGCATTCTGTTGGTTAAAGCAAGACAACAAAGTTAACTCGGACTCGGGAGAAAGGAAATGAATTCCACCTCTTGACAGGAGGAGTGGCATGCATGAACAGGGATGGTAGGGGAATTGGTGGAGGACATTCTGTTCTTTCATAGTTAGCTTTTTGAACCAAATTTAATCTTTAATCCAGTCTATCTTGCTTTTTGTTTCTTAAATTTTAATGATTCTTACCTTTATGTCATCAGAAGATTTTAAAAGTTTCTCATTTATCCCTTTCTCAACTTCTTTTATTTTAAAAGTTTCTCATTTATCCCTTTCTCAACTTCTTTTATTTTAAAAGTTTCTCATTTATCCCTTTCTCAACTTCTTTTATTTTTAACAGCTTTATTGAGGTATAATTGACATACAAAGAACTGCACATATTCATTTAATGGGTACAATGTGATGAGTTTGCTTTTTCAACTTCTTGTAGTCAGCATTTTACCAGAAACATTCGCCACTGTTGATCCTTGGTCCTTTTAGTCTATATCATTAGGCCAATAAACAGCCTGACTACTGGTATCTTGCCTTCTTGTTGCTTGTAGGTTCTGGTTAATAGCTTTAAAGTAGTTTTTGCCGTTGTTATTGTTTAAATCAGATGTTATGGCTGAATTCAGTGTTCAGCTTGAGGGAAGAGGTGCTTAATTGCTAATTTAAAAATTCTCAGTGTGAGTTACCCAAATGTAAAACAACAGTTTTTAGAGATATAGAAGTTATTACTCATAAAAGATGAGTTACAATTTCTTATGACATTTATTGACACCTTGCCTAAATAACTTCTGCAAGTTTTCGGATGTATACTTTAAAGTTTTACATTTTAAGTGATTCACCCTTAACTAATCTCATCTTTACTTATATACAGTGGGTTAGATAAAAGTCATTGAAAAGTGAAGGACATGACGAGGCAGTGTTATTCTGTTTCTGTTGTCTTCCCTGCTAGACATTTTATCCTCAGACTTAGAGACTGTCTTGCTCACTATTCTCAGTGCCTAGCACAGTCCATTTAATTATTGAAGAATAAATGAATGTAAAAAATATGTTGAAGCAGTAAAGTATGAAATAGAAATGCCTCAGTAGAGAATTGATTTCATGGTTAGGCTTTTACTTGTCAGTTCTTTCATTTGAAAATATTCTTTGTCAATCTTAAATATATATAAATGAGCCAGAGAGCAGTTCACAATCGAATTGCATATGGAAACTTCTTTAGATTTATATATATATTTTTCCCGCTATTTAATTTGAAGTGATTTGTGAATTCTGGTTAATCTCAATACACTTTTTCCTTAGTTGGACTTCATAGTCTAACTTTAGCCTAGCCAGTCAGAAGTGGAATTTGTCCTTCCAAGTGTGGAGTGCCACAGGTTAAACCTAGACTTCTGAATCCAAAGCCATTATGCTATACCGTCTCCCAAAGTGGAATGAATAATGCATTTTGTATTAAGATATAAAACTTGAAAAAGCCTGGTCATTTGTTTCTTAAGTTAAAGAAAAAAAACACTTACTATACTAAATGGAACTATCTTTTGCTGTTTAGGCAGATCCACAGATCCCCAAAGAGCAGCTGTAGTGTTCACAGAGTGTTCATGCCTCAAAGAGGATGATGGTGTTTAAAGGACAAAATGACGGGAAGTTTGAATTTTGCCAAGTCTTAGGTTATAGGCATTCCTTCTTCGGAGGAAGCAGTGGTTTTCCAAGCCCAGAGGGTTCCTTTATTTCTAGTTTGGTTGAGATTTCACACTAGAAGCTGCCTCAAAGTTTAAATGAATCAATGAATGAATGAATTCCAAAACACTTGCATTTGAGAGACCTTTGAATATGAAAGTCTGGGTGTGGTGTAGTAAGAATTTTGTTATCCTAACCAAAGTGGTCTTCTGATTTCAGACCAACGGTTTCAAATATCAGTTAATAATCACAAGAAACATTATTTCAGGTTGAATTCTCTCATCTCCAACCCTTTCCTGTAATACATTGCAACCTGCTCCTACTGCCAACTTGGAACTACCCACTTCATCTGAGTATCTGTTGCTTAAGTTGCAGAAAGGGGGAGAAGCCGGGTTAAAGCTTACTCTCCCACTCACCATTTGGAACATAATGAGGTAGACATACAAAGTTAGAGTTATTATTTAAAAGCATTTTTCAGTCTGTTTGGCATAGTAGGTGCTATATAAACTACTGGGTTACTACCAGAAGAATAGAAACCAAGAATTAGATACCCTTTTTCCTTGTAAAAATTGAGACTTGTTTGGGGCTAAGCCCAGTTGAAAATTGACTTTCACCTTGATTCCTAGAGTGTATTTAGTAGGAAGAAGTGGAGTATTTAAAAAAAATTTTTTTGCCTAATTCTACTACTGGAATATTATCTTTCTCCCCCTTAAAAAAAAAAAAAAAACTACTAGTTTATTGTGCCTTATCCCCCTAATACAGTGAAATCAAGTTTTTCTTTAAATCCACTGTAGAATATAATTATTAGCATGTTAGGATTTACTTAGCTTAGATTGTTACAGTTTTGAACAGAATTACATAGAATGAAGTTTAACTGTTTGGGGTGATCGGTAAATATGTATCTTACTAGCTGAAAATCACTTTAATGAAACTAAAGGTTTACTCTTCAGATCTTTAATTCTCATACTCCTACCAGTGTCTTAATTTAGTTAGGAAAAATAAAACTTTGAACAGCTTTTTACCTGTTGTGAGGTATTACTTTAATTGTAGTCTCATAAATGACGTTTTGTTCTTCTGTTCTGCTTCCTTTGTCATGGACTCTGGTAGTGTCTATTATACTGTCGGTTTCTGCTTAAGTCATATATTCCTCCAGAGTACCAAAAAGTTAATCTCTTATGTTCTTTGCATTCTAGTGTCATGACTACCTTGAAAATGAAAAGTTTGCCATTTTGTTAAATAATATAGTTACAAAACATAATCACAGATATAATATTATGAGCTATCATGCTTTCACATTCATTGAAACATGCAGTCTTTATCAGCATGTAAATTGATAGCACTGTGGGGGAGATGCCAATATTCAAATTATCATCCTTAAATAATAAGCTGAACACTAATTTCAAATTTTAAGTATTGCTGTCCAAAGCATTCTGCTCTTAAACCACAAATTTACGAGCCTACAGCATTCAAAAATTGTATTAATTTTAATACCCAATGACTGGGTATTAAAGTTTTATAACTTTGGCTATAGTATGCTCTTAAAAATGCAGATTCTTTCAGTTTTGTAAATATTTTAGTCTTATGACTGTTTCTTTTCTTCCCAAGTCTCTTTTGGAAAAGTTCTTGATCCCCAATGCTTCACAAGCAGAGAGCAAAGTCTTCTATTTGAAAATGAAAGGAGACTACTACCGCTATTTGGCTGAGGTTGCTGCTGGTGATGACAAGAAAGGTATGCTGCCTCAGCCTGTGCTGGACGCTTAGAAAATGGCACAGTACGGAAGGAGTCCCTTCTGGAGTGTAGAGAATTGTTTTGTTGTTTTTTAATTGCTCAGAGCACTAAATGAAGAGTAATAATGGACTTTGCGCTCTCTCTCTCTCTTTTCTTCCTTCCCTCCCCCCCCCCCTTCCTTCAACTAAACAGTTGACCCTTGAGGAACACAGATTTAAGCTGCACAGGTCCATTTACACAGATTTTTTCTGTAAATACTACAGTACTACATGATCCAAGGTTGGACATGAAGGGCCGCCTACAAAATTATACTCAGATTTTCGACTGCATGAAGAGTTGGCATCCCTAAACCCCTTGTTGTTCAAGGGTCAACTATATATCTACTGCTGCATAATTGGTATTCTGAAATGTATGCTTGCTAACAAGCCAATTTTATGTATAGGAATGTTTCCTCACAATTTTAATAGTGGTTATAGTATAACTGTAGAGCAGTACAAACTAATTATTAAAAATAATACTGAGATGGTTAGAGTTATTTTGTCTGGACGTTGATCAATGGCTAGTGTAGTTTTCCAAGAGAAGCTTTTCTTTTTTTTTCTTTTTTTTTTTTCTTTTACATTTAGGAGCCTTAATCAGTTAAGGTTGCTACAGCTTAATATTTCAGAGTTTATAATTGGATAGTAAAGGTTTGGTTTGAGGGGTGAAGGTGAAGTGCAAACTTTTATCGATACATTTTGGTGCATTTTATTATCCAGGGATTGTGGATCAATCGCAGCAAGCATACCAAGAAGCTTTTGAAATCAGCAAAAAGGAAATGCAGCCAACACATCCTATCAGATTGGGTCTGGCCCTTAACTTCTCTGTGTTCTATTATGAGATTCTGAACTCCCCTGAGAAAGCCTGCTCTCTTGCAAAAACAGTATGTATTTTTTACCTGTTAAGTGGAAATTTAGTAATCATTATTATTGGAGCATTGAAAATGTATTTTTTTTATCACAGGCATTTGATGAAGCCATTGCTGAACTTGATACATTAAGTGAAGAGTCATACAAAGACAGCACACTAATAATGCAGTTACTGAGAGACAACTTGACAGTAAGTACATACCAGCATCGTGGGCGGTTAACATGGCAAAGAGATTATAGGCATACCTCTGTTTTATTGTGCTTCACAGATACCACGAGTTTTACACATTGAAGGTTTGTTACAACCCTGTGTTGAGCAAGTCTATGGGTGCTGTTTTTCTCAAAAGCGTTTGCTCATTTCATGTCTCTTGAGTTCACATTTTGGTAATTTTCAGTGTTTCGAACCCTACACCAGCAAAAATTTCAACTGCTGAAGGCTCAGTTGATGATTAGCATTTTTTTAGCAATAAAGTATTTTTTAACAAGGTATGTACATTGGTTTTTTTAAAGACATAATGCTGTTGCATACTTAATAGACTACAGTATGGTGTAAACATAACATATGCACTGGAAACAAAATTCGTGTGACTCAGTTTATTTTTATATTCCCTTTTTTTGTCTTTATTTTCTTTTTTTTTAATGTAAGATCCTATCTGCTTTTAAAACTGAAGAAAACCATCTTACAGAAACTGAAATATTAGACTAAGGAATAAAAATGTATCTTTTCATTAGTTACATATACCCATTGTTAAAATTCTGGTTTTTAAAATGACTTTGTAATTCATGGTTTTGAACTTTCAATTACATAAGCCATTTTATTTTTCATTTCAATGTAGTTGATAATTTTCTTTCCATTTTAGTCACAGAAGAGTTTTGCTTTTAGTATCAAAAGCATACTTAAGTTCTCTTTTTTAAAAAAAATAATTTTTATTTATTTATTTGGTTGTTCTGGGTCTTAGTTGCAGCAGGCGGGCTCCTTAGTTGTGGCTCTCAAACTCTTAGTTGTGGCATGCATGTGGGATCTAGTTCCTTGACTAGGGATTGAACCTGGGTGCCCTGCATTGGGAGCATGGAGTCTTAACCACTGCGTCGCCAGGGAAGTCCCTTAAGTTCTCTTATTTATTTATGGCTGCGTTGGGTCTTCGTTGCTGTGCGCGAGCTTTCTCTAGTTGCAGCAAGTGGGGCTACTCTTAGTTGTGGTGCACAGGCTTAGTTGCTCTGAGGTATATGGGATGTTCCCGGACCAGGGATTGAACCCGTGTCCTCTCCATTGGCAGGAGGATTCTTAACCACTGCGCCACCAGGGAAGCCCTCTCTTCATATTTAAATTCCATTAAAAATAGTGACCATAAAGTTGCTTCTGTATTTATGTAGCTATGGTAGGGCATTAATAACTTTAGTTACAAAATTTCAGATACTGTACAGAGTCCAAGTGGACATCTATTTTGCCTAGTCTCTTAGTTAAAAAAAAAAAAAATGACTTACTGTGGCAGGTCATTATTGTCCTTGGTATACTGTAGACCAAAAAAAACCACAATGCCTGTACCACACTGAAAAAATATATCGTTAATTCCTTAATAATACTAAATTTCTAGCATTCAATTTCCAGTTGTCTTTTTGTGTTTCTTTGTATTGTCTTTTTTTTTTTTTCCTTCCAACAGTTTTTTATTTACATTGGGATCCAAATAGTCTACGTATTGCAGTTGGTTGATATGTCTCTTTGGTCCCATAGGTTTTCCACATTCTTCTCCTTCACATGAATATTAAATTTGAAGTTTTGAGGCTTGGGTGAAAAAAGTATCAAGTATCTTCTGTGTGCCAGATAAAGAGCTAGGAATGAAGATTATAGTTTAGTGCTACTGGTTTTTATTAGCTTTCGGGCATTTGTTTTGGGGACTGTACATCATCATTGTATATATTTAACTTTTCTCAGCTTTATTTTATCTAGCCCATCGCCAATTTTCTGAACCAGTTATATTCTCAGCAGTTTTTTGAACGTCATTATGTACTTGTTTATTATTAAACACTGAAAATTATTTTAGAAAGTATAATTGGAGGCTACCTACACACTCTGGAGATTATTTTAGTCAAGAGGATAAGGTACAGTTCCTTAAAGAGTGAATCTTTTTATGTATATCAAATGAAAGAAGCACTTCAGTTTGTTAGCTAATTTTAATATTAAGAATTTTTCAAATTTTTCTGGTTTGAAATGATGAGATAGTTCTAAAAGGTAGAACTTGAGACCTAGTCACTACTGAGTTGTGTTACCACTTTTTGAGAAGGCCTGATCTGAAATATATACTTCCAGCTGAATCTTGGCATCAGTATAGCATGAAGAGCATATTACAACAGCTGAGTAAGAAGCAAACCAAGGTTCTGATTCTGATTCCGTCACTATTTACTATGTGCCTTCTCTGAGCTCTTGTCATATTGCCTGTTATCATTATAGGTTGATTGGATCACTTATCTGTCAAGTAAAGAAATTTTGTCAAAACTATCTAGTATCTGAGTCTGGATCTGGTTGACCAGTATTGTCAACACATAACCCTAGGAAGAGAAATATAAATATCCTTCATCAAATTTTTAATGTTTATATGGAAAAAACAAGGATCCATGAAAGAACTGGAGAGAGATGATAAAAAAATAATTTCATCTTGTCTTACAAGACCACCAGTTTAATAGAAGCTTACAGTCTTATAGAGGTCATTCAGCTAACTGTATGATGTTCAGAGAAGTCTCCTTTCCAGGCCAGTAACATATTTGGTTAATAAATAAATAAAACTAATGGGTGATTTGGGGGATAGAAAAATACTGAGCTTCCCCCCTCTTCATTCTGCAGTGTATAAGCAATATAAAATTTAAGGTATCTTGAAACAATCCTTTTATAATTTCCTCTAAAAATCATTATAGAGTGCTAAGACTTGTAAAAAAATTAATATTTGAAACAGCTGAGATAATTCTGAAATCATCTTTTTAAACTGCTGAAAAACTGTAACATTAATCTAAAACTTAATAGACACCATAGGCATACTACTATGGGACAATTCAGTTTTTACCTCTTCGAAGATTTGGTTCTGACCATACTGTTTTGTGTTCATCTATTTATTTTGAATCAGACAAATTCACAAAGGTAGTTTTTTTTTTTTTTTGTAAACTAAAAATGTTAGTTAAATTTGTATTTTAGTTCTGACTTGATCCTGACTCTTAAATTTCTTAGAGTGTGGTATTCTCTTTAGAGTGGCAGTCTAAAGTCTACCAGGGGAAAGTAGTCAGCCTGAGCTCCTTGAGCATGGGGACTGAATTTGATGATTCTGGTTTAGTTGCACTAAACTTATACATCCGTCTCTCACTGGGGCTATTTGGGACAATCTACTATTCTGATAGCTATTGATATTTAGAACTGTAGCGTTTCTATGATTTCTTCTACTTTTTCTTCACCTATGAATAACCAAGAATTTCCTGGATCTGACTTGGTTATTTGAAGACAACTCTGCTGTGTACCTACTATGCTTACAGAATGATTAGGGAGGAAATAAATGTATTATATTGAGGTCTTTTATATCTTTTTTAAAAATTTTATTGTATTGAAGTATAGTTGATTTCCAATGTTGTGTTAATTTCTGCTTAGAGCAAAGGGATTCAGTTATACACATATACATTCTTTTTCATATTATTTTCCAGTGTGGTTTATCACAGGATATTGAATATAATTCCCTCGAGGCGTTTTACATCTTGAAGCTATCTTAAATGCTGCAATTTTTTAAAGAAAGCCTTCCAACAAAAACTGCTTAGATTCTGGTACTTTGGCATATATATTAAGGTTTTTTTTTCAACTGAAATATACTAAAATTTCTCTCTCTCCCTCCCTCCCTCCCCACCCCCCTCTTTTAACTAGTTGTGGACATCGGATACCCAAGGAGACGAAGCTGAAGCAGGAGAAGGAGGGGAAAATTAAAAGGCCTTCCAACTTTTGTCTGCCTCATTCTAAAATTTACACAGTAGACCATTTGTCATCCATGCTGTCCCACAAATAGTTTTTTGTTTACGATTTATGACAGGTTTATGTTACTTCTATTTGAATTTCTATATTTCCCATGTGGTTTTTATGTTTAATATTAGGGGAGTAGAGCCAGTTAACATTTAGGGAGTTATCTGTTTTCATCTTGAGGTGGCCAATATGGGAATGTGGAATTTTTATACAAGTTATAAATGTTTGGCATAGTACTTTTGGTACATTGTGGCTTCACAAGGGCCAGTGTTAAAACTGCTTCCATGTCTAAGCAAAGAAAACTGCCTCGTATTGGTTTGTCCTGGTGGGGAATAAAAGGGATAATTGGTTCCAGTCACAGGTGTAGCTGTGGGTACTTTAAGGTTTGGAGCACTTATAAGGCTATAGTAGAAATAGATATCCCATGGATATTACATGTTAAACCATGTGTTATCTGTGGAATACTCAAGTCTCAATGTGCACACCATTGACTACAGCTACAGAAGCGTTCCTTTAGTTGTGACCCAATTTACTCTGGATAAGGGCAGAAACGGTTCACATTCCATTATTTGTAAAGTTAACTGCTGTTTGCTTTCATTATTTTTGCTACACTCATTTTATTTGTATTTAAATGTTTTAGGCAACCTAAGAACAAATGTACAAGTAAAGATGCAGTAAAAATGAATTGCTTGATATTCATTACTTCATGTATATCAAGCGCAGCAGTAAAACAAAAAACCCATGTATTTAACATTTTTTAGGGTTTTTTTTTGCTTTTGTGGGTTTTTTTTGTTTTGTTTTTGTTTTGTTTTTTGGGTTTTTTTTTTTTTTTTGATACTTGCCTAACATGCATGTGCTGTAAAAATAGTTAACAGGGAAATAACTTGAGATGATGGCTAGCTTTGTTTAATGTCTTATGAGATTTTCATGAACAATCCAAGCATAATTGTTAAGAACATGTGTATTAAGTTCATGTAAGTGGAATAAAAGTTTTATGAATGGACTTTTCAACTACTTTCTCTACAGCTTTTCATGTAAATTAGTCTTTTGGTTCTGAAACTTCTCTAAAGAAAATTGTACATTTTTGGAAATTTATTCCTTATTCCCTCTTGGCAGCTAATGGGCTTTTACTAAGTTTGAATACAAAGTTTATCATAACAACAAAATACTACTAAGATAACTACTACTGTTCCCAACCATGTCCCTACTCCCCCATCCCCCTGAAAAAAAAAATTTTTTTTTTTTTTTTCCAGAGACAGGGGGATTGAATGGAAAAAAAAGTAATGTGTTCCATTTAAAATTTTGGTATATGGCATTTTCTAACTTAGGAAGCCGCAATGTTCTTGGCCCATCATGACATTGGGTAGCATTAACTGTAAGTTTCGTGCTTCCAAATCACTTTTGTTTTTAAGAATTTCTTGATACTCTTATAGCCTGCCTTCAATTTTGATCTTTTATTCTTTCTATTTGTCAGGTGCACAGGATTACCTTTTTTAAGCCTTGTGTCTTGTCACCAACCGTTCCTACTTGGTGGCCATGTTCTTGGGGAAAAGGCCGCATGATCTTTCTGGCTCCACTCAATGCCTAAGGATACCCTGCTTCCTTTGCTTGCATCCCACAAACTATTTCCCTCATCCTATACACTGCAGCAAATCTCTCCCTAGTTGATGAGATTGTGTTTATCTCCCTGTAAAACCTACCTATCCTGAATGGTCTGTCCTTGTCTTTGCCTTTAAAATCCTTCCTCTTCCTCTCTTTGAATAATGATGGGGCTAAGTTATACCCAAAGCTCACCCTACAAGCTATTTCCTCAGTACCTTGCAGAAAACACCAAACAAAAATACCATTTTAAAAGAGGTGTATTTTTTTTTTCTTTTAGAATGTAAGCTCCTCGAGAGCAGGGACAATGTTTTCTGTATGTTCTATTGTGCCTAGTACACTGTAAATGCTCAATAAATACTGATGATGGGAGGCAGTGAGTCTTGATGATAAGGGTGAGAACTGAAATCCCGAATACTGTTTTGTTGCTTGTTTTATTATGACCTCAGATTAAATTGGGAAATATCAGCCCTTTGGGACAATTGTCCCAAATGTTACATTCAAATAAAAGTGCAATGGAGGCCTTGGGGTCTTTCTTTCAAGGAGAAAAAGATCTCTTATGCATTTGGGGACATCATCATAATGCATCTTCACACACAGCTCTTTTCTTTTTCTATTGATTTTTCCTGACCCCCAGGCCAAGGATATGAAATAATCATTTTATAGCTACGGAGAATGAAGTTAGACTGAGGAGATGGGTTTTATTCAAGTAAATTATAAATAAAATCTAAAGCTTGTCTCATTTGCCTATTTATGTGCCTCAGTCTCATCTGCTAGTTTGATTCTGAAATAAATTGTGATAATACTTCATTAACATTAGGTGTTAATAGGTTTCTACATAGTAGTGCCCAGTAGATAAAGGAAGATTTCAACCTGAGATTTTTTTGCCTTGAGATTTGAATAATAAATTTTTTATAACATTTCTTAAATTGCCCCAAATTCAGGCTTCATGTCTGTTTCTGTCAAGAGTTTCAGGAATTTGGAGACTCCAGCAATGTAATGTATTTGGTGTGTGTGTGTAGTATTGGAGTTGTTAAATGTATATGTCCACTTCAGAGTTGTGCCTTGAGAGAGGGCAGGAGTGTGATCAGTTAAAAGAATGGATTTTGCTGCCACTTTGGCCTGTGGTCTTGGCTTTTCCAGTTAATAGCTGTTAGTTTTTTGTGCGATGAAGATAGAAATTGGGGTGGGGGAGTAAAAGAATTAATGTAATGTCAGGTGGCTTAGTAACTATAGGAGCTCAGTTCTTTTCCTGTCTTCCCTAAAAATAGTCACCAATCCTGCCATGGCCCAGTGCATATTTTAAAACTAGTTAAAGCCAATTTGTAATCTGCAATCTTAGATTATTTGAGGTCAGGTCTCAACTTGATTGAATAATTTGGGAACTCCAACAATGGTGAGATGTTTAAAAATCTTTAGTAGGCTCTGAATGTAGATCTAAGAATTTGACACTTTTCAGCGGTGGTGGCATCATTTAAATGGTTTATCTCTTCATTAGGAGAGAATGGCAGTTTATTTGGATTCAAGTACATCATAGTCACTGCATGAGAGCCTGCAGTGTGTGAGGAACTTTAACTGGTGCTCAGAGATACACACCTTCCTGTGGGAAAAGGTGAAGGAATCATTAAATAAATTGCTTTATTATACTTTGTTATACACCATATAGGAAATTACAGTGGTGGAATTGAAATATCTACAGTCTTAAGGTGGTGGCTTAGACGGGGCCCTTGGAAAATGGCTGGACTTGGATAACCTTTCTGAAAATTGCATCTGTAAAGTACTTTTCTGTTATTTTTAGTGTGACTGACCTATAGCAGTCACAATCTCGATTAATTCTAGTTCCTTTTAATAGACTGGAGAGCTAAACATAAGATACTGCTGGGTCTTTGTAGGATTTTTGTTTTTTGTTTTTTTAGAAACTTTACAACAGGCCTCTAAGGAAACTGATACTCTTGGATGACAAAATGGTATTCAAGAACGCAACACAGTGGTAGATCTGCTTTAAAAGTCTGAAAACCTTAAAAATGTTGCTTGTGTACATCCAAGTCTGGTTATGCTACTCACCTGGGTCCTTTGAAGTCTACTTTATGTATGACTGTCAACCCCCAAGTATTTCAAAACTTGATGGTAGACCAACTATTTGGAAGACATATGCTTCTGACCTGTGTACCATAATTACTCACTTTGTAAGAATATCCAACCATCCTGCTGGTCAAGCAAGCATATGTGTCTTTTGGATGCAGAAACCAAGAATATATTGAATGCATATATTTAGGCACAGCTATTATCAATCCTAGGTGATGCCAGGGACTCCGTTGGTGATGAGTACTTTTTTTCTTATAAGTGCATTCCATAAAATTTCTGAAAGACCAAACTTAACTAATGTTAATCGAAGACTTGTCAGTAGTAAATTTATTTCCAATTCAAGAACTTCTAAAACCTATCAGTATTTCAGTAGGGGCTTACATTTTTTTTTATTGGACGTTGGTTAGGGCCAGTCCCTTCTGAGTGATTAAGAAGGACTTTTCAGAGAAGATTTGTGTTTGAGTCACACTTGCAGACTGGATGGTATCCGATGGAGTATGAACAAAGGCATCAAGATAGGAGAATTTAAAGACGACTTCCGTGCACTCACAGGTGAGGAACTCTGTGAGAGAGTGTAGGAAGAAGAAATAGGCTCTGCTTTCTAAGTTACAGGCAAGTGGCTTTCACTTTTAATGCTTTTGTTCAAATCAGGGTTAAAGTGCTTATTCCCAGCACCCAGTCTCTGGGATTCTAATTTCTAAAGCCCAGGGATATGCGTTTACTTCATGAGCTGTAATAACTTAGTGTCCACATTGCTGAAATCTATAGGAGGAGAGGGAATGTGTAACGTTTGGGAAAACAAGGGCGTGTAAAACCATGGCGGCCCCCACCCCCCCAAAATAAAAGCTGTTTCTAAACTTGAGAACTTCAGTCTGCAAAACAAAGGTTTGTGGGTCTGCTCAGCAGATCATGTTTCCCAAGCAGAGATTAATGATAAAGTTTACCTGTCACAAAAGGTTTTTCACATTAATGATCCTGGTTTAGTTTGGAAACAGGTAGGTACTTTAGAACTTCTAGTGTGTCAAGAGAAGAAAGGTAACACGTGATTTTATGGGGGTTTTTGTTTGTTTGTATTTTTAATGAATGGCATTTCTACTGTTTTCCTTAACTCCTGCCATGCATAAAAATCAAATCCAGGGAATTCCCTGGCAGTCAAGTGGTTAGGACTCACTGCCGAGGGCACGGATTCAATCCCTGGTTGGGGAACTAAGATCCCGCAAGCCACGAGGCATGGCAAAAATCAAATTAAAAATGAAAGATTTAAAAGCAAACTTTGGAATGTTCATAAGATGTAAGTGAATAACTTGCTGACGAAGTTTGTAAGGAAAGATCTCTTAAGATGGACATAGAAAACCTAACTAGAAAAGTTATATGTAAATTCAGAATCTTAATATATGAACGTTAATATAAATTCAACTGCGTAGAAAATTTTATACCTGGAAGTGGAAAGAAGCACCTGAGAAAAAACCTAGTGGGCAAAAAATTGGTATAAATTATAAAGAATTACAATAAAATAGAAAAATGGGCAAAGATTTTGAAAGTGCATTTTTATAGAAGAGATATCTGATCAATAAATACATGAAAAGAGGCTTAACCAGGAAAATGCAAACCAAGACCACAATTAATCTTGATTAGTATAGTTTGAAAGTCTGGCCATACCAGACATTAGAGAAGTTGTGGATGGAGATCTCTCATACATTGCTGATGGGAGTTTAA